GAGTGGTACAGCCCTGACGTGGAATAAGGTCCGCTTGCTGGGAGCTAATGACGGAGTTCAGCTTAATTCGTTGTGCTACAGAATACTGCCGGTGGGAATGAATGTGCTCCGCACCTCACCAGTGCCACTGCAAGCTTTTGAGTGGCTTGCAGAGCTGTATTTTGGGAACAACATCCTGCGGTATATCCCACTGTAAGCTTGAACAAGCAGCTTAGGTGTGTGTATCGGGCAGGGCTTAACACTGCCTATAGGTGGTGCGTATGTGATCCCACTGTTTCAGGTGAAGCCATTAGCGACCCAACCCAAGGTAGCAAGTCCTTCAGATCTTTTCAGAAGGGAGCCCGTTCAGCACCACGGAATTCCAATTCCTGGCTAAGGAACCACTCGGTGGGTTTCACTGTGATTCATTGAGCCAGAAGGCCTTTCTTCCTGTTACTTCCTCGCTGAAGTAACAAGTCATTCCACATTTTCCCCCCTCAAGGTTTGCCCTTGGCCACTGCCCATCTCTGCCACTCACCGGTTCCTCACAAACGAGAGGTGGCGCAGTCAGTGCCGCTGTGGGTGCACACAGCCAGCGCGTGAGCTTACGTGGCCCTGCACACACCTTGCGAATACGTGGGTTGTACAAAAGGCCTGGAGAAGCAGCCACAGGCGTGAGAAGGGCACATCCAAATACTGCTCCCATAGCCTGAACCCCAAACTCTGCGCTTCAGCAAAAAGGAAAGCCGAGGGAACTGTTTGCAATGCTACGTGGCAAGCAGTCCAGGACCTGAAATTGTTTGGCCATCTTTTGCTTGTATCTTTTTGCTGGTATTTGTACAGTTTTAAGAACAGAAACCTTATGTAGAGTTTATGCTGTTTCTAGTAGGTAGTTTGCAGGTGAACTGTGAAGCATTTTTCCTAGGTGGCAACACAGGGAAGCCTTCCCAAGGCTGTTACACAGCATCAGGCTTTCCTTACAGTAGGGCTTGTTCTGTTGTGAGGTTAGAAGGGTACGTCTGCTGTGAAGTTAACACGAGAGTTTGTAGCTTTTGTCCTCCTCAGGTGTTCCTGCTTTGCTGCTTCACGGAAATACTCCTTTGCTTTGCAAACTACTATGTCGCGCTGGGCCATAACACATTCTTCAGCCAGAATTACTACTTCTGCCAGTGAAATAACCCTGTTCCTTTCACTTCGGTCTCCACAGAAAGCCAATCTGTAAAAGTCCGGTAGAGATGGATTCCAATGATCTAATTTTCTCTCCTTCCCTATTTTGATTTGTTGAACGTAAACTTGAACAGGGGAAAGAAGTGACAGAGTTATTCTAAGAATCATTTCCCTTGCGTCATGACAGCACGTGTTGGTTTTTGGTGATTTTCATGGCTGTGGGAATTTCTCTGTGGCTTCGTGTTGTTTCCAGTAAAATTAAAATTTTATTTGCTGTATTGAAACAAATTACACTTGTATTATTATACTTGGATGAAAAAGAAATCACTGTTCACTACTTTATGTGAAAGTGTTCCTTGTTACAGACTACAGCAACCAGTCCAGTCTCCTATGGCATCATGTCACGTGCCACTTCTACTGCTAGACTGTTTCCAAGCTAGTTGACATTGTACGACACCTTAAAATTTGTAAAATAAATCAAAAAGTAAGGCATACAGACACAGTTCTTCCACCACACTTCAGATACATTTCTAAATTTAATACAAAATTACCTAAAATGTGAAGTACCTGGGCTGTAATATTACTAATGAGACTAATTGGAGAAGCAGGTAAAAGGCAATTTGGAGGGGCCATCTAAATTATACTGGTACTTTCATCTAGAGTGTTACAAAGAGCTAAAAGCTTAGTTGCTCCCCTTGATTACGAGGTAGCCTGTTCAAAACCTTCCTCGTCTGATCCTCATAGGTAACTTCAGCATTGTATGCTGCAGCCCGAAAACAGCCCTAGATGCTCTGTTTTTTAAATCACAATCCAAATCTAAGTAATGGAATAATACTGTGCTTTCCAGTCAAGATACCAGATGACACCAATATAAGACAAATATTCTGTCTTCTGTATAGATGAGTTGTCTGAAAAATTCATCTTGAGAAAATAAACTTTTGAGAAGCAGTTGACATTCTTTCAGCCCTTCCTAATCATTTTCTTTCTGAATGATTAGGTGCCGAGTACTGCCAGTAGATGCCTTCCATAAGACAAATGTTACAGTCATCATTTTTAAACCTTAATATTTCCTTTTTATCTTTACTAGGGAGCCCATCTGGACATGCCATGGGATCTTCCTGCGTGTGGTACGTGATGGTCACAGCGGCACTTAGCTACACAGTTAGGTGGAAAGATAAATCAGCAGTTACCCTTCACAGGTCAGTGTCTTTCCATTATTCCAATTCATACAGACATTTCTTTGTTTACATGCTGTGTTTTTCACAGGCTTATTTTAACCAAATATTCATAGTCTGTTTGTCCACTTTGTAAAAAAGAGGATTTATCCATCTGCATAGGTTGGTATTTATTAGCTGACGTTGCATACAGTATCTCTGAATCTGCTCCTATTTAAGCTCGGGTCAGGTCTTTGGTGTGGGAAATTTCGAATTCTATTTGTTGTCTTTATGTGTTGGACCTTTCGCTTAGTGCATAAATTTACTGCTCTGGTGGTAGTCCTTCTTACCCCATTTTGCAGCAAATGCACCTAATGTTGGCAACGTTACTCAGCTGTGTGGGGAAGTCTTAGAATCGCCTGGATAGTTGTCCTTTCCCAGCCATATGTGAACTTTGTCACCAAAGTAATGAACTTCTGCCCTGAAGTACAACTTCATGATGAGAAATGTGCTGAAGGTACTAGGGCTAATTTAACTTGCCTTCGACGATTTTCATCAGTAGAACCACGGTAGTGTCTTGTACCTGAAATTACAGGGGTCTGTTCCTGCAGACCGAGATGTGGCTGAAGAGCAACCACTCTTGCTCGTGTTTCAGTGCCGACTTCCAGCTTTTAATCGCCCTGTTCTGAACGTCTCTGCTTGTCAACCTCTGCTTGTCAACCTCTGCTTGGTCAAAACATGAGCCTGATGTGAGGGGCCTGGTGTAAATTACTAGGTGAAGTATCTCGTCTTAAGTTTTAAGCATCTTCCTTTTCCTCCTCAGACTGACATGGTCATTCCTCTGGAGTGTTTTTTGGATTATCCAGATCAGTGTGTGCATCTCGAGAGTATTCATAGCAACGCATTTCCCCCATCAAGTTATTCTTGGAGTATTTGCTGGTAATGCTATTCTTCCTTTTCTTTTCAACGTACATGCAAAAAAAAAAATATGAGAAAAGGCAAGACATTTTTAGTCGTGGTGCCCAGCTTGCAGCCCCAGTGATGCTCTGCGCTCTCTGGACGGTCAAGGGTTGGATGGTAGTCTCGTATCTGCCGTCTTTGTAATTCACGCAGGGAGTGAGCCCTTGTCCCCGTGCCAGTGTCCCTTGTCCCTGATGCTGACTGCAGAACGCCCACACGGCCACAGACTGGTGCGCTCTGCGTGGTACGGGCTGCATCCGATCTTTGTCTGTGCTGCCTGCGTGGAAGGGATCAGAGGGGGAGTCACTCCTATGTGGCCCTGACCTCTCTCAGGAGGAAGCTATTTGGGTCACTTCAAATGGTGTCCAGGTACACACTAGTGTGTGTGAAGTGTGGACAGGCACAGGGCAGGCAGAACAGAGGAAGAGGGAAATTAGCTGTGTAATCCCCCAGGGTGGTTTAAGAAGCTAAAGTACATTTTTCAGAGTTAGTTAAACATGTTTCGAATTGGTATTTTGGAGTTCAAACTATGAACGATCCCCCTAGTACCTGTCTGATTGCAAGGAGGGTGCCCAGAGCATCGCGCAGGGGCTGCCTGCTCCTGTCCTCTTCCATGGATGCCGAGCAGCCTGGGCAGCACTGGCTAACAGCTTGCAGTCCAGCTCGCCCTTTTCACAACCAGGGTAGGAGGAGTAAGAGAAATGTATTCTGTGTCTTTGCCTTCAACACTCAGAGCTGGTGTGGGAACTGGTACTGCTGGGGCCAGGCTTTGAGGGCGAGCGCTGTGGGAAGGGGACGTGCTGGCTTCCATCTAGTGTACATCTAATATTTGACAGGTTGTGTCTGGGAGGTGCAGTCAGGCCTAAGGCATGCCTCAACAAAAACAGGTAGTGCTGAGTATTTAATTTCCCTTTTCCAAATTAGCAGCACTGAGTGGGAGAAAAGGTTGTGTAGAGTACTAGGTGTGGTAAATTGTGTGCGTACATGCATATATACACATCAAATGCATAGCTATATCCTTCTGTCTTCAAAAGCCAGGTTCTAGGGGAGCACTGTAAAACGCGTGTCTTCAGAGCCTGTGTTGTTCCCTGTAACACTGAGCTTCTAACCCGCAGGCATTCTGGTGGCAGAAGCCTTTGAGCATACTCCTGCTATTCAGACAGCAAGCTTGAGCATGTACATGAAGACAAACTTGTTTCTTTTCGCCTTTGCCCTTGGCTTCTACCTAGTCCTCAAGCTCCTTGATATTGACTTGCTATGGTCCGTTCCGAAGGCCAAGAAGTGGTGTGCCAACCCGGACTGGATAAACATTGACACAACGCCCTTTGCTGGACTGGTGAGGAATCTAGGTGCACTCTTTGGCTTAGGTCTCGGAATTAACTCTGAAATGTTCTTCACGAGCTGCAAAGGTAAAAATAGCTGTAAGATAAGTTTCCGTGTATTATGTGTAGCTGCTTCTTTAGCTACACTGCAGCTGTATAATTTCGTTAAGATACCTACTCATACTGAGTACTTGTTCTACGTTCTCTCTTTCTGTAAGAGTGCAGCTATGCCTCTGACTGTAGTTGCCTTGGTTCCGTACGGTGTCCATTCCTTAATGAGGACAACTGAAAAGAAACTTAACTAGGTAAAGTTCCCAGCCGGTTAGCAATGTGGGGACGGCTCTGAACTGCTCACGGACCCTCTGCAGAGGCAGCTTTGTAACTCGTTTTAACCAAGGGAGATGCCACTGCATCTGTGATGTGCTCCTGGTAAGTAACCAGTACATCCAAGATAAGTCCAGTCAAGAATGACTTTGGCAGCTCTGACATATTAATTGCTGATTTTAGACCTAGAAATACTGGAACGAGGGGCGCTGCAGTATGGTTATGTATGACCCAATACCCTGGGTCACAAGGAAGTTCTGAAGTAAAATCAACTAGTTTCATAGAGCTACTTGGTGGTCTTTTAGTTCTGTCCATCTCCAACTAGACGTGCTTCAAGGTGCTTCAAGCCTCAGTTGTACATAGCGATACTCGGTATCCCATTTTTTATATATAGACGTCACGTGTTCAACTGCTCGGTAACGGTGCGAGAGCATCGCTCCACCCAGGCACTGTGAAAAGGCCAGCACAGCTACTCACAAGGCTTTAGATTTAACTTATTGAGCTTCATGAGCAAAACAGCTTCTGATTAAGCCAGATGAGAAAAAATAAACGTTTATTCCCATTGGACTCTGAGGAATATATTTTTGCTTCATTGTGTGATTTTTGCCATTTTTACGTTTTGAAAGTGTTCACGTAAATCACGAATGATACAGATTACACCTTTGATACTGAAAGTGCATAAATACGGTGCAACAAATCTTTGAGTTCTCTGCATCTACACAGAGCACCAAATGAGGTAAGTTGTCAGTTGTGAATTATCTCGGTGTGTTGTGCATGCTCCTGCCAAGGTAAATTAGTCCAATTCTCTCATGTTGGGAGGCGCGAGGCTGAATCCCTGTCAGTACTTGTGTAAAGCAGGAAAAGGTGCTTGCAGGCCAGTCATTGCAAGTTTATGTTTTTGTCAGCTTGGTTTACCTAGGCACACAAGTAACTAATAGGGTAAACACCTTTGTTATATGAATATGCTCTAAGTAGGCAAAGGCAGGTACTTTCCCTTTTTATTCATTACGTAGCACCTACTGTTGCACATTGGGCTTGTTCAGCCTGGAGAAGAGGAGGCTCCGAGGAGACCTCATTGCAGCTTTCCAGTACCTGAAGGGGCCTACAAGGGTGCTGGGAGAGGGCTTTTTACAAGAGCCTGTAGTGATAGGACAAGGGGTAATGGGTTTAAATTGAAATCAGGGAGGTTTAGATTAGATATCAGGAAGAAATTCTTCACAGAGAGGGTGGTGAGGCACTGGAACAGGGTGCCCAGAGAAGCTGTGGATGCCCCATCCCTGGAAGTGTTCAAGGCCAGGCTGGATGTGGCTTTGAGCAACCTGGTCTGGTGCAAGGTGTCCCTGCCCGTGGCAGGGGGGTTGGATCTTTAAGGTCCTTTCCAACCCAAACCATTCTGTGATTCTATGATTTCCTTTCAGTGCACCATCTTTAAAGCATATTTGGTGATACCACCTCATGATAGTATACAAGCAGCATAAAGCTGTAATAAGGGTAATGAGGGCCATGGGCGTATGATCTGACAGCAGTACGGCTTAGAAGGCGTAAACGTGATACTGCTTCGAGACTTCCAGTTAGCTGTGGGATAACTGAAATGGGAAGAATCTTACGTAACTGGGAAAACAAGTGACTAGCTTGAGCTGGCCCTTGGGAGTGAACATGATAGAAATGACAGAAGTGAATCTGAAACAGGCATCTTTATTTAAGAGCCTACTAAGACTGCCCTGACCTAAAAAGTTGTTATTCTAACATTCTGAGGAGTATTCTGCTTTATGTGTCTCCTGGTATCTCTGGTCATGATTATGTGAGCTCTTTTTACCGCAGCAGTTTGCCTCAAACCAGTCTCCTCAATAACTGTGACTCCTGAAGCAGGAGGGGTAAGGTAATGGGACTAGAAACAAACACTGAAGAACAGAGACAGCTAGGACAAAGGTTTCTGCCATGGTGAAGTTGCTCTGTGCTTTGCTATTCCCTACCAGTGAGGGGACCTGCGGGGGCATCATGAAAACCAGACGGTCGGCCCAGCTGTCCTTCTCTGCCTCACTCCTCCTGCCCGGCCGCGGGGGAGTCTCTGTGCGCAGCCCTCTGCCGCTCTTGTGGCAGTGTTTGGCCCTGCTGGCCTGTTTCCAGCTGGGACCTGTGGGCAGACGTCACTGTGGTAAGCTCCTGCCACATGAGAAGGGTCTGTGCTTCCCGGTGCCAACAGAGCACCTTGGCACCTCTGCTGGGACAGACACACCCGTTAATGCAGAACGGCAGGTACCAGCTCCGCAGGGTTCTCCCAGGTACCGTACAGACGTGTAACAGGACACGGGCTCTCCTGAAGTGCCCTAGTGATTCAGCCCTTAAGGGAAGGGACAGAGCCCAGCTTCACCAGCTTCCCGTCTGAACCACCTCTTGTTCTTTCTGCAACATGAAAACACCACTGTCCGCAGAAAGATTTCATGAGCCAGGAGTTAGGAAGTGCAAGTGTCCCTCACTCCTATGTACTAGCTAGCGTGGTGGCATTACCTTCACCCACAGCGCTCTTGGTAGTATGCTGCTACTCCTCCTCCCCACTCCCTGTTACCTTCCTGATGGAAGGACTCCGGCCACTGGCAGGCTGTTGCTGTGCTTGTCTGGAGGGTAAGAGATGAAGTGCTAAAGCACAAGAGCCAGTAAAAAATACAATTTATTGGTATAATTTGGGCCACAAAAGTGGTGTCCTTTAGGCGAAAGAATTATGGAATAAGTACATGTAGTAATTGTAGTTGTTAATTAAGAATAGTTAATTTTTCTATGGCCTTAAATACTATATAAATGAAATATCATACAGATTATTGATTGTCACTCTGTCAGTAGTGGCAGTCCTGAGCCATCCAAATTATTGTTCTGAAACATTAAGAAGGCTAAAAACAGAAGGCAAATACTGCAGGTTCCTTTTTCATTTTCAGTTAAGGCTTAAGATACAGACTTGCCTGGGAAAAACAGCATCTCGGTGTCAGCTGCATGACTTCAGTAGGTTCTGCTGAAGTCATTCTGTTAATGGAGTTGTGCAAAAGTTGGAATTGTTCTTTTGCTGCCTGGAATTAGGGGATGTATCCAAATAATGTTTTCACCCACCCAGCTCTATTCCAGTTGCAGCTGTTGGTACTGTTGCGTGTCTTTTAAGAGAATCCATGGTGGTGTGATTTGTAACAAAGTGGGTGAATTCCCCCACCCCAACTGCAGATTTTTAGGACATGGAGAATGACTTTTCCGGTTCAGACTCTATTATTTGAAATCAAGGTTTAAACTCTGAAGCTGTAATTTGGACTTCCCGTCTATCTGCTTTGGCTCCAAGATCCCAGTCACTAGAGAGACGAGTCCTGTTGTCCTGCAGATAATAACCAGTAACGCAGTTCAGGGAAACACGCAGTAAGACCTTGTAACGAACTCTTAGCGATACCAGCTTCTGCCAGATCCTGCCCAACCTTTGCCATTTCTGGATAAACTGTTGCTGCTTAACACAAACAGCTAATTATGGCTACTTTTTCCCACCTTTACTGCATATACTTATGGTTTCTGTAAAAATACTCATCCTTGTCTTGCCTTCTGAAAAAAAAGAGAACATATTATCCAGCACCATCCCAACAGAAGGGATTTAGAGAACTGTGGTGATTACCTGGATTTTGCATTGATTTAACTAAAGCATTTATTCCTATTCAAAATCTGTTTGACAGCTTTGATCAGTGGTGAGCGTAGGGGAAGTGATCTTCACCAGCTTCCGTTCCTCTTCTTGACGCTTCCCTTACGCTGGCGGAGCTGCCGCCTTTGTCCGCACCGAATGGTTTCGTCGCAGGCTGTGGTGGCTTAGCTGTGTCAGGCTCGGGGCGCCAGTGTGCTGGTGCTGCACCGCGTGTGGTGTGGAGGGGCTCTGTACCCACAGCAAGGGTACCTGTGAGAATCCTCTGCGGACCAACCGTTAGGAGAGACTTGATCCCCTGAGCGACAGAGCATCGTTCTTGGGACTGGCTTTTATTCAGACAGCTTACCCAGACAAGGGGCCGTCTTCCCAGCGGGGTCTTCCTTGATTGCTAGGGGAGGAATGGCAGGACTGTGCAGTCTGGCTGCAGCTGGTGGAAAGATGTTTCCCAGTTTTAGGCTTTCTTTCCCTTTGCAGTGGGCTAAGCCACTTCCTGGATGCTTCAGCCTGTGCTCAGTCCCCTGCACGTGCCTGACAAGCGTGCGTGATGCAGAAAGCTACATACATTTTGGGTTGCACAGGTCTGACAGTACTGTAGAGCACTTTGCAGCACCATGGGGACCACACACACATACCTACCGCAGAGCATTTGCTTACAGGACAAAACCTTTCACCTTCGGAATCGCAGTAATTCAGCTAATGGGGGCTCCAGTGGTAACAAGCTTGTAATAAGCTCCTTGCATGGCCATCAGTTCATCGTGAGTGCCCCTTTCAATGACGAGTCCTTGCGACATCACGGCAATGATGTCGGCGTTCTGGATGGTGGACAAGCGGTGGGCAATGACGATGCAGGTACGCCCTTCTCTGGCCTTATCCAGCGCCGCCTGCACAGTCTGGGGGCAACAGACAGGGTCACAGTGAGAATACACAAACCAAACTGGGGCTCAGAGCTGGAGAAGCTTCACATTGATTAACCATACCCTGTATCGCTCATACAAGTGACTGAGGCTAAAGCAAAGGCTGTGTTACCGGTGTGCTTAGCGGGGTCACGAGCCCCCTTTGTTAGCAGTAAGTTTAGTGTTTCTAAATTCCCACCATTTCTTTCATCTCTGAGCGTAACCAAGCCAGGCAAATTATCGCCCAAGTCCTTCGGCCCCTCGCTGCTGCTGTCGCTGCTGCTCAGGCTCAGCGGTCACGCGCTGGCGTACATCTTTGCTTGTCCTTTAAAGTGCAGAAGCTGCATCTATGAAACACCCCCGCTGCGTGCGCACACCAGAGACAGGCCTGCCTCCCATGGGCAGCCTGACAGCCCCTGTAGCTGGCTGCTGGGTTTACAGCTCTGCTTTCTGGAGCTTTCTGAAAGGTCATTAAAGGCGGAAGTGCTGAACTGGGTGGAATGACGCTGCGGTCATGTAGGGGGTATGTGGGCATGTCTCTGTGGAACAGAAGAGGGTGATGGACGTCGTAAGCCATTCTATAACTTTCCCTTACGGCTTATCGCTGCGCGTTTACCTTTTCGCTTTCGGTGTCTAAGGCAGACGTAGCTTCATCCAGCAATAGGATTTTAGGATCGCGTATGATGGCCCTCGCTATGGCAATGCGCTGTTTCTGTCCACGAGACAGCTGGGATCCTTGAGCCCCAACGTTCGTTTCGTATTTCTGAAAAACACACAGAAGGAAGATCATTCAGGTGTAAGCAAACACAACCTGAAGGAAGAACAGGAGGAGAGAGGCAAGAGCATGGGCCGTTGCTGCTTCCTCCTTAAAAACCCAGCAGTGCAGGAGCTACACGTTAGGGGAGTGGTGCTTCGCAGTGCACATGGCCCAGCAGGGTGACAGGCCTGGAAGAAAAATTTTGTAGCAGGGTGATGGCTGATTTGTCTGAGGGAAAATCCCCACCCTTGCTTTGGGAGAAGAGGCTAAAAGTGATTTAAGGGCTTTCCAGGTAAGTGTTTTGTTTGGGTGCCTCATCTGTATTCATACCTTTCATGTTCCTCTGGGTTATATGATGTCAGTGCATTTAAATACGTAATCTAAGTAAGTGCATGTAAGCAGCCAGACAGATATGTTTGTCTGCGTATCGTGCCCTAGTCACAGGGCAAATCTCCCACAGCTGGGAACAGGATTTGTATTTCTGACCCAGTGTAACGCGCTGGCTGCTGAACTGCGCTGCTGCTTCCTTCTGGTCCACGCCTTTGAAAAACCTTCCCTTTTCTCCTAGTCGAGCCTTGTAACTGCTGGTTTCGGTTTTATAAATATTTACCTACTATGTAAAAACCCAGCAGCAACTCGGGCTCCAGCTCTCAGGAGCACGTGAGGAATGGCCATGACACCCCCTCTGCTCCTGCTGCAGCGAGCAGCCTCTCTAGTTCCGCAGCCAAGGCCTGGCGGGTACTTACGGCGGGCAGTGACATCACAAAATCGTGCAGCTGGGCCTTCTGGGCCGCTTCTATGACTTTCTCCATCGTTGCCTCTTTGGTGCTACTGCCGTATTTAATGTTATCAGCAATGCTGCAGTCAAATAGCACTGGCTCCTGGGACACGATGCCAATTTTGGATCTGAGAAATTGCACGTTTATTTTCTGGGTGTCGTGTCCATCTATTAACTACCAGGAAACAGGAGAGAACTTGAAACGTCATTCCAAAGCAACCGCCTTTGCAAAGCAACCCCAGTGGTTCATAGCAAAACAAAAGGATTCAGCCAGGTTGCGAAGATGCAAACACAACTGATTGAAAGAGACAGGAATAATCTTCTTATACTTGATTCCCTGTGCATGATGAGCATTTTCTGGGCACGGCTGTGATCCAGCCAAACACGAGACCACTTGCTTAATCTTAAGTCCAAGCAAACTATCTCATTGCTTAAGGTTAGGCAGGTGCTTACTACGTGCTTTGCTGCCTTCCTGGCGTAGCAATCGCCACGCTTATTTTTTCCAAAGAACAAGAAATCAAACTAGATGGTTAGCTATTTACATGAAGAAAAGATAGAAATGCTTTTTAAACCATCAGTAACCAAGTGGAAGTTAACCCTAGACAAACTCAGGCTGCAAAGGAGCTGCACGCTGCAGCTGTGTGTTTAGGGCTGTTGCACACTCAGCTGCTCCATGCAGGCTTGATTTTTGCTGGTGCTCCCAGTGTACACCACACATGATACATTCCACACAGGAGCGACCAAGGTGAATGCCTCTGGCCTACATAGCGCAGGAGGGTGCACCTGAGGCCTGCAGCCTTCTGGCCTCGCCTGAATGCATCCGAGATGGTACTTGGGGACTGTCAGAACTGTCCTCCTCTGCTGGAGCAGGAGCTGAAGCCCCAGGCTGCGTGGGTACGTGCTGCCACTGCTGGGCTGCACAGTGGGACGCCGTGAGAAGAGGCCTGGCAGCAGGGCTGGAAACGAGCACATGGACCATGTCTCCTTTGCTTACCACACTGCCTGTCTCGGGGTCATAGAAGCGCTCCAGAAGCTGGACACTGGTGCTCTTCCCACAGCCGCTACTTCCAACAAACGCCAAAGTCTGTCCAGGCTTGACAGCTACAGAGAGTCCTTTCAGGACCTGAATATCAGGCCGAGAGGGGTATGTGAATTTACAGTTAAGGAATTCAATGCTTCCCTGGAAATCATCCTGGAGGGGGAAAAAAAAAAAAAAAAGAAGATGCTACAATAAGCTTGTGCTCAAAACTGAGTGGTGAAGTACAAAGGAACTCTTCCTCAGAGTCCATTCTTGCATCTCTCATTTAAAGCATGACATCAGTGCTTGTGACATTCGCCCAGGAAGAGGGCTAAAACCATACTGGAGGGGCTGTGCTAGAGACGACGCCGTTGGTCACCAACACTACTGCTCTGCTTGTGCTTCCCCGTAGCGTGCTGGTCAGAGGCAGCAGTCAGAAACAGCCTTGTTTCAGCCCTGCCAGCACGTACGTTGTTTATTTTAACATGGCCCTGTGCAAGTGTACGTTTGGTGACAGCCCAGGTACATCTGTTTAAAGGTCTGGATTTGGTAAAAAAAAATAACATCAACCTGCCTTCGCAACGTTAAAGCAATACGTGAATTCAGGTCAGTTTTCCAAGAACTCTTAAAAAACTCCTACAAATCTCTGAAGAGACTTGAGATACTTCATTTTCGTGGTTTGAAGCAGAATACTTAACGCATTTAGTTCATAACAATTATTTCAAGTTTCTGTGTTATTCTGAGAAGGAAGTTAAATGAAAAATAAACTTTGAATTTTCTGGGTCTGACCAGCCCACTGAAAATGGTGCATTTTCATTTTGTCTGACTCAAAGCTGATTCACCTCCTCGTGAACACCCCCAACATTTTAAGGCGAAGGTGAAAAAAGCCTCTGTTGCACACTCGCAGCAGCCAGGTTTGTGTGTGAACTGTGGAGCAGGAAGAAAAAGCGTGCTGTTCGGGAGTTTCACCCTGACACATTCCTAACGGGCTCACTTCATACA